GTACAAAGAAGTGACCATAAGCAGAAATGCTTGTTTTCAGGTATAGAATAACATACTGCGGTTTTAAAAAAATCGGCCGATCACCAGGATTCTAATATTTAGTGCCATGTCCTTTCAACAATATCTATATCCTTTAATTCTAGTACCGATAGTCCAGATTATTTCTAATGTATATGCTTATGCCTCCTCCTCTTGTAGCTCAGTACTCTGAGCTACTTGAAACAGGGGAGCAGCCTTCCCAGGAGAACGAGAATTCAGTCTTTATATTATCATTCGCATATCATTGAGAAAGGCGGAACACTCGTTCTCCTGGGAACGCTGCTCCTCTGTCTCAAGAATAAGGACCCTGGAATCATGAATTGATGCATATTCGGGTTAGTTAAAATTGTCTATTTCTTCGTGATATACGGGATGGCCAAAAGTCTGAAATAAAATTCATAGTTTTTCGGTAAGTAATTTTTCCAAAGAACGCTGAAACATGTTAATTGATTTTGGTTTTTATTTTTATTCACGTTTTTCAGTTAAATGGAAGTGTGGCGGTATACAGTCTGATTTTTTAAGTGTGCAACATATGGGGATTTTTTTTAGTAATAGCACAACCCAAATACAAACAAGGCGAAAAGTTGGTGCATGTCTGATAATCATATTAGGTGCACTTAGAATGGTTGCAAGTCAAACAGCATACAGGGTAACTCAAACAATATTTGTGTACTGTAAAGTATCCTTATTTTAGAAAATTCAGCAAAATATTATAGAGAAAACTTGTTTGGAATTAAAAATTATGCCTAAATACCAAAACATAGCCTCCTAAGATTTTTTTTATTTTCTTTCGAAAAAAATCTAGTTTCTATATTTTTTTTTATTTTTTATTTCCGCCCTTAATACTTTCAAAAATTAATTAAAATCAAATCAATTTTACATAACTTTGATCAAATTCAAACATATTTATAAAATTAACTTGGATTTTTAATTTTTTATGGATTCACAAAATTCATGTTTGTTGCAATGATATTCAACACAACTTTAAAATGTCGCAATTTTTTTTTTAATAAGTTAAAACATTACTTATGATAATAGCCATATTAAAAAAATTCTCCTTAAAGTGCAAAAGTTTTATTTTATTTAAGTAAATATTACTACAATTTTGATATTTTTTGAGCTACCCTGTATGCTGTTTGACTTGCAACCATTCTAAGTGCACTTCATATGATTATCAGATATGCACCAGCTTTTGGCCTTGTTTGTATTTTGATTGTGCTGTTACTAAAAAAAATCCCATATGTTACACACTGAAGTAATGACACTGTATATTAAAGATAATCTCACTCTTGAGTCGGTGAATTTTCAATTTTTAAAATTAAAATAAAGAATAAGTATTATGCGTTTTGTGTCGTTTATCGTCCTCCAAATACTAATTTTAATATGATTAATTAATGATTTTGATAACATTTTTTCTTTTTTATATCCTACAGTTGATGAAATAATCTGTGTTGGTGACTTTAACGTTAATCCTTTAAATTGGGGTAGCCCCCTTATTTCTCTGTTCGAAAATTATAACTTTGTTCAAATTATTAATCAGCCTACTTGAATTTCCAAGACAGCCAGTACATCCTATATTCGTTACATATGATTCTTTGGTAAGCGATTTTGGTACTGTCACCACTGAGAATATTTCTGATCACTGTTTGGTGTACTGTTGTTTAAAATTAGAAAAAACTCACATTGAACCTAAAACTATAAGATACAGAAACTTTAATAACTTCAATATTGATTTATTTCTTAATGACTTACGGGCACTACAATGGAATAATATTGTCTATGAATATTGGTAATAGAAAAATGTTGTTCAATAATTTGCTTATATCGCTTTTTGATAAACATGCTCCATATAAAACTTCCAAATTTACTAAAAATAAAGCACCATGACTTACACCGAATCTTAAAATTTTTATGAAACAAAGAGATAGTGCAGTATAGCAGTTCAAAAGAACGAAGTCATATTTATGATGACTGGGAAAACTATGAACGTTTGAGAAATTTCACTGTTTTGATGGTAAGAAGGGAGAAGAGGCAATATCTAAATACTTTGTGCGCTGGAAATAATTCTTAAAGAACTTGGAACGCCTTGAAGTCTTTCAATATAGGTTCTGATAAAAATCTTCATCTCCCTGATAACATTTCAGATCCAAATGCTATTAGGTACATTCTTGCAAAATGTTTCAGACTGTAATTTAAAGATTGATTTTTATAGAAATAGTGTTTTTGCTGATAACCTGAGTTTTTTATTTAAAATAGCTACATCAGATGAAATTAATAAAATTATTCATTCTTTTCGAACAAATGCCTCTGGCGTCGATAATATCTCATCAATAATGATAAAATACTGTAGTCCATTTATTTATTTTTTATATATTACCAATTTGATTAACTGTTGTAAAGAGGCAAGTTATATTCCTGATGAATGGAAAATTTCCATTGGTAAACCTCTGCCCAAAACAAAAAACCCGTTGAGTTTCAGTGATTTCAGAATTATTAGAATCTTGCCTGTCCTCTCTAAAATTTTTGAAAAAGTTCTATATGATCAATAATTGTTTTGATAATAATATTATATCGGAAGCTCAGTGTGGTTTCAGAAAAAACTACAGTACTTCTGTGTGTGTATTGGGTCTTTCAATAGAATTACAATGCCTCATCACCGGACAGCCATGTTTCAAAGATCTGTCACATACAATTCTGTGAAATTGTTCAATTCTTTACCATCTGAATTTACTACGTATAATTTTAGAATATTTGAAGTATGCTACAAAAAGTACTTGCTCAATCGTCAATAATACCCAAAGTTCATTCCACGAAACGATATAGTAGAGGTAAACAAACAGGCGGAGCTTAAAAATTCAGAGAAGGACTTCAAAAATATGAATTCCAACTAATGACATTTATTATTGTCAGGTTGTCAATAAGTTAAATGTCGTTGTGAATGTCGTATTTCCTAGTATTTTACAATTATTTAACTAGTGTTTGGTGAATTATTGTTTACTAGTGAGCAATTTAGATTAACCCTCGGGCAGGCGCGCTATCTGCCTTTTATGCCGCCTTTTTACTAATTCAAGGATTTCGCAAATATTTTGGATTTTATCATATTGTCCGTCTAATGTCTGCCCAGCGAGTCTGTGTCTACGGGGCAACGGTAAGGGGAATGCAGTTGTAAGAAAAAATGGCTGATTTAATTCATAAAATACCCAGCTGAGTGCGGAACTTTTTTGAAGTGTTATCGTATTGCAACTCGTACACGAAAATCAGCAATGACCAAATCTCCGCCACTGGATATTTCAATATAAATCGATATTCCAAGATGGGAGGATAAAATGACGTGAGCCCTGGCCAATAGCGAGACGTAAGGTGACGTTAGTTTATTGACAACCGTATGGTTACTCATGACAACGGCGATCCTGCCAAAAACTCCACCAATCAGGTTCATCCAGGACGGATGCTTGCCAAATTGTCAAAAGCTGATGGTATCTTTAGAAAATGTTTATTTTTTACAATAGACCAAACTGAAGAAATCAGGATTAAAATAAGGATAAATCTAACAACCACGTTAAAATATTTAGCGTTTTATTATTGTTATCAATATTTTGTTATTAAATAATGGATTTTCAAATTAACTATACTCATGCCTAGTATTTTCGCTTTTTTATAATTAAACATGGCAACATGGCACATTTACGTCCGAATTCCTTCTGTAGACTCAGATCCACTGGGCAAACAATAGCTATGCTCAAATGACTATATTAGCAAACCTACTACGCACAATTTACGACCTTAGAGCGCTTGTTCAGATGTCAGTGAGTACTTGAAGTTGCAGATGTTGAGTTTTCGGCATTCCGTACTGCCAGCGCGCCTGGTCATGTAAGTAAAATTGAAAGGGGAATAGTACAAATATTATGAATATTATTTTTGTGTTTTTGCGAAATTAGTATTAAGGATTTCATTTAGTTGCCTAGAATTACAATTTACTTAATTTTTTTACTCTATTTAAAAATAATTTTTTATATTTTGAATCATATCGTACATATTTCTGCAGGCGGCACGCAGTGCCGCAGCGCGCCTGCTAATGTGATTTTCAAATGCGCGCCCGCCCGAGGGTTAAACAATATCAAGTTCAACAGATTCCTCTGAAGAATTCGTTCGAAAATATATTCAGAGAAGAGAAACACAAAACAACCTAAGACAATCCTCCCTAGGGCGGAGTATAATTCTTTTCTAGCCAATAAAATTCGACTTACCTGTCAAAGTTTGTTTACTTTCACTATCTCGGTTCGCGAAATGAACTTTATGTAATACGTAACATAATATATTATATTTTTTCCAAAAAAAATTTTGTTATACTTTTTTGTTATTCAATTTGATAATTGGTTCCTATCACATGTGTATAGTAGAGTTTCGTGTAAAGAGAGCTTTTACAAAATGCACAGTGCACAAAAGAAAATTTAAATTAGGCAATAGACCTATCTATTTTTACCTGTTATGCGCGCGCAACACGAGGCAATTTCTTTTTATTGGCTAGCCAATACAGGTGTGAGGTGATCGTTTTGCACGCTGGACATCTCTTTGTCCTTGTTCATTGCACGTGGTCTGACGAGAATAAATCTAAAGTTGATATTCAACTTGGCAAATGTCATTCAAAAATTGTTTGACATTTTCATTGACAAATACGTTGCACAACACGCGGTTTTTCTTCTTCCCTTTTTATCCCGTGCAAATAAGAAGGACGGATTTCTATACGTAAGTCTAACATAATTTGGTACATTTTGCCTCGTCTTGCGCAATGAACGTTCTGTGTCTTTTTTTATTTTATGAAGTTTTCGTATTATTACCTCTTTGTCTGGTAAAATAGATAGGTAGGTCTATTATGAACCCAAAAGTAAATAAAGTTTTAAGAAATGAATAAGAAGAATGCGAGATCCTGAGAAATGTTTTCTAGGTTTCTAGATACTTACAGTATGACCTTGAAATGATTTAATAGGACGGTCCATGGACAATTTGCAAACATGGATGCACTGATCTGTGGAACATGATGCAAATGAGGTATTCGTTTGCCAGTCGACATCCAAAGCAGGTGCTGAATGAAAACTGAACTGTTGAGTGCATTGTCCGCTAGCTGCATCCCAAATTATAGTTGTTTTGTCAACCTATAAAAAAAATGTCTTAAAAAAAATGATTTCAGGTGCAATCTTATGAAAATATAAAAATTATTATAGTTAGGTAAACTATTTAAAATAATTAGTCTCAAAAAGTTATGAAGACTTTTATATTGTAGTTTATCATATCACTATTATCACTTACTCCAGCTGATAAAATGTAGTTTCCTTTCTTGTTCCATTTTAGAGCAAAAATAGGTCCTTTGTGTTGTCCTAAGGTACTTGCAAGCATTCCATTTGTATTCCATATACGAGCATATCCATCATAACTTCCAGTAGCTAACAAACTTCCATCACACTAACAAATAATCATAGTTAGCTAATTGAAAATAAAATAACCACATAAGACATATTGAATAAATCAATGTAAATTTTAAATTTCTTTACAATATCATTAACAAGTTTTATTTTTATTATGTATTTCAGTATCTCTTTTCACACTTTTTAATTAAATAAGAGATGATCAAATAATAAAGAAATAAACTTACATTCCAGTCCAAAGATGTGACATCCTTATTACTAGGCACTTCACTATCTCCTTTCCTTATGCAATGTCTTAGAATAAGCTGGGCTCGGTCTTTTGCACCTGCATTATCGCTCATATCCCAAATCCTTGCAGTACTGTCACCCGATCCACTAGCCAACAAGTCTCTTGTTGGATTCCATGCACAGATGAACACTTCTGATTCATGTCCTCTTAGGGCTGTTGCTTTTGAAGGTGGTATTTCAATGGATGTGTCTACTTCCATGCTCTCGTTTTGTGTGGCAGCAACAACAGCTAGAATATCGAATAAAAATTAATAAAATCACGAGTGAGGCAACGTCATTTATTTTATTTTATTTTATTTTATTTTATTTATTCCATTCAACAACATATAATACACAGCAAGAAGATTTTATTAGTCAGCTTATTAGATAGCTTCTAGAATAAGCATTTTTACAACGTAAAACATCACCTACTGCTTTTTAGTTGAAGAACAAACAGTAAACAATGAGATTAGCTATTCCCATGAACTGCAATGGTGATAATTCAAATAGGAAAACTGAAAGTACAAACGAAAATTTTAATTTTAAATTTGATAGAGCCATCTTGTAAAGAAAAAAAAAATGTAGCAATGACAACACAAAATAATAAATAATATACGAGTGTGTAAGCGTTTCTCAATCGCTCCGTTTTGAAAGATTTTTTGTGCATTCTGTATTGTGACTGTATAGTACTGTTTGGTGTCATCGGATTCATTGTTTCAATTCCAACGTCACAGTTCTTGTGAGACTCCTGTGCGTGAACTCTTCGGCCCTTAAATTCCGTAAGTTTGCGAGACTCCTGCTTCTTAATAAAATTCTTGCAAAATTGTTTATTTTATCCGGCCTTATCTTGAAGACCTTGATAAGGAACTACCATAAATATCGACAAACATTCTTTTGGCTGTGTTTTGTCGGGCATTGTACTTTACTTAGTACAATTGACCTTATTTATATTTGAATTAATTGCAAGTTTTTGAATCCACAACTTTGATCATATAATCTCAATCATGAGCTTGTGTTTGAAATGTAAAGTCTGTTTTTTTTTTAAAGATAATTCCCCAAGTCAAAAATTTAGTAACTATGTTGGCAACGCAAGCCTTTTCTACATAAAAAATTTGAAAGCATTGACAATTTTACATTGTATTGCGACATTACCCTCAACAGCCTCAAATAATAGTGACATGTTTGATGAGCTCCAAGAACGACAGCAAAGATCAAGCAATGTCATGATTTTTAATCTTTCGGAGGGTGATAATGACCAAATATTGGTGCAGCAGTTGGTTTCGGAACTTGGGGGAGATCAGGTCAAAGTTGTTAGTGCTGTTCGATTGGGGAGGAAGAACAGAAATGACACGAGTTCAATACAGGTAACTCTGCCGCACTCCAAGGATGTTCACCGTGTTTTGGGTGGCAGGTCTAAATTGAAGGGTCGTAAGATCTATATCAGTGCTGATTTGACACCTAGGCAAAGGGAGACTGAGAAGGAAGTGAGGAAAGAACTTATAAGACGTAGAGAAGCAGGTGAGACTGACCTTATCCTAAAATATATCCAAGGTACTCCTTCCATTATTACCAAAAAAAAAAGTAATAAGATACATCACCCAAAAATTTTATATTATATTACCAGAATGTCCGAGGTCTGCGTACTAAACTTAGATCTCTTCAACATGCCGTATTGACTTCGGACTACGATGTTCTAGTATAACTGAAACTTGGCTATCTTAGGATTTTTTGGATGCTGAGCTTGGTCTGGTGAACTATACTGTGTTTCGAAAAGACAGATCCGAGGCCACTAGTGTCCACAGGAGAGGGGGAGGTGTCTTGATCGCTGTCCACAACAATAATAAAAGTTCCCAAATAATGGTTTCTCCAGAAATTGAACAGCTGTTTGTTATGGTGGGCACCAGTGGGCGAAAATGCATAATTGGTAGTCTCTATGCACATCCTAGATCGCCAGTTGCTGTTTTTCAACGGCTGGCTGAAACCATGGACAACATTGCCACCATGGAGCCGGGAGTGTGTGTTTCAATCTTGGGTGATTTTAATCTTCCGTGTGCTCACTGGGTGACTGACGACCTTGCGTCTACGGCGGTTCCTGGTTTGGATACCCCGGGGCTGCAGGCTGAGGCAATTGAATTAGTTTCGGGCATGTGTGCATTCCATAACCTTTATCAAAAGAACGATATCCACAATGTGCATGGCGGACTTCTTGATTTGGTGCTATCTCAGCACCTGGAGGTGTCTACAGCTTTGGCCGAAGAACCACTTCTACAACCTCATGCATATCACGCACCACTTGAAGTATCAATTGTGTTTTCGACCCATTCTAACAATCCAGGTTTGCATGGTGAAGAATTCTATAGGGATTTGAATCGGGCTGACTACCTTTCCATTAACGAGTTTTTTTCTCACATTGACTAGGATAATTTATTCAAGGACAGATCTTTAGATTTACTTGTCAACGATTTTTATGACTATTTCACTAGAGTGTATTACACCGGTTATAAAACTCACTGTACAGGGTATTTGATTATATTTGGCACCATACCTACAGCCTTTACTATTTAAGATAGAAAAAAATTGTAAATACAAAACTTGACAGTTTTTTTCTATATTTTCTTTTAACATTATCAGAAAAAACAAAATCGCATCGGAAATGGAGAAACGTAGACAACTTCGACTTTTTTGAATGGAACACCCTGTATATTTTGCGATAAAATGAAAGACCTTTTCTTCCTGATTACAAATATATATATGTTGATCACATTTGCATGAGCCATTTTTGACATATCTCAGGTTAAATTATAAAGAATTTGCAGAGAAGTTCCATAAGGATCTCTATCTTTATAAAATTTCTTTGCAATTTAGTTATAATTTAAGCTGAGATATGTCAAAAATGGCTCATGCAAATGTGATCAACATATATATATTTGTAATCAGGAAGAAAAGGTCTTTCATTTTATCGCAAAATATACAGGGTGTTCCATTTAAAAAAGTCGAAGTTGTCTACGTTTCTCCATTTTCCGATGCGATTTTGTTTTTTCTGATAATGTTAAAAGAAGATATAGAAAAAAACTGTCAAGTTTTATATTTACAATTTTTTCCTATCTTAAATAGTAAAGGCTGTAGGTATGCTGCCAAATATAATCAAATACCCTGTACATTATTCCCATATGACACGAGAGGCTTAATAAGTGATAAGCCTTTTGCAATTATCGCGCTTGGTGGCATTTATAGCAAATTCTATTAGAGATTTTTTTAAATTTTAAAGTATTAAAGTTTAGTTCGTTGTATAACCTTTTGAATACCACTCGATGTTTCAGGATTACCTAATACTTTCACCTGACACTCAACACATTTTTTGACATTGTCAAACTGATATTAGGCAATTCAAACCACGTGACACTCAAGATGGCGTGGCGGCCACACATGGGCCAAAAAACACAAAAAAATATCTAGTTTCTGCTCGATTTAATAGTTTAGGTACCTAGTCAACAAATATCGTATTAAATAATCAAAATCAAAGTTACAAGCAAAACTCTAAGCAAAATAATTTAAAATACACATAAAAACATATTCAAAACAAGCTTGCTTGGCCGCCACGCCATATTGAATTTTCCTTTCTGACAGATGGATTAAATTGCCTAATTTTTAATTTGAAGTTTTTATTCAAATTTTTGCATTCTATTTATTTTCAAAATCTCACGTGAAATAGTCATGACGAATACCACTCGAGAAAAAATTGTGTAAGCAAAATTGTTCTCAAGGCTTTATTCAAGTTTGTTGGTTTTAGGCAATTTCGCTCATGACATTTCTGATAAAATCACTCGCCTCGTCCTCGCCTGACGGCTCGTGATTTTGTCAAAAATGTCATTCACGAAATTGCCAAGCAACAAACTTTCATACCTTTCGAAAATTTTGCAGGCAAAATTTTTTCTCTTGTGATATTATACAGAGTGGTCCATTGAAAAGTATCCACCTAGATTTACCGGTTTTTGTGAAATTTAAGAAAAAAATGCTCGGACACGTGTATTTTGTTTCGGAGGGGGAAATATTCTCTGCATATTTTTAGCCCTGTAACCTTCAACCCCTAACGGGGGTGGGCTCCAACCCCTTAATCTTTAATGGAACGATGGGTCGAGTGATAGCTCGATTGAAAGGGCACGAAATTAGCTTTCCAATGGTACCCTGTTTGTCGGATTTTACTTCGACAGTTAATGCGAAAACGACGCTAAGAGCCTCACCCCTGTATTTTTGGAATCAATAAAACAAAGGACTTAAATTTCACTTATTTCGAGACAAAATAACTAGTAACAATATTTATTTGATGAATTCTCTTTATTAGCTTTCAATCATGGTCAGTTATTTAAGAATACGATGTTCTCGAAAACTGTTAATTTTTTTAGTATAACGTTAATTTAACAAGTTTTGATAATGTGACCCATTTACTTCCATACAATAATATAAATTTTGTTCAAATCTGTTTCGGACATTTTGCAGCACATCAGGTGCTATGCTTCTGCACCCAGCTATTATTCGCTGGCGAAGATCTTCTATAGAATCGGGTTGCGTGGCAAAACATTTATTTTTCAAGTGTCCCCACAAAAAATAGTCTAAAGGCGATAAATCGGGTGACCTGGCAGGCCATTCAATTGCGCCTCTTCTTCCAATCCACCGTCCAGGGAAACGTAAATTTAAAAAATCTCTAACAGCAGCAACGTAATGCGGAGGCGCTCCATCTTGTTGGAAATGAAGCCCATCAACATTATGATTTAGGTCATCTTCTATTTATTTCTGTTATCAAAGGGTCAATTGCATCCTCAAGCATGTTTAGGTACACTTCGCCAGTTAAATTACCAGGGATAAAAAGTGGTCCTACAATATGATTTCCTAAAATGCCACACCACACGTTTATTTTTTCAGGGTGTTGGGTATGGGCCCCACGGAATAAATGTGGGTTACTATCATCCCAGTAACGGCAATTATGTCTATTGAATGTACCATTTAAATAAAATGTACACGCATCAGAGAAGCAAATGTTAAATAATAAGTCCGGTTCTTGCATTAAACGCTGACTCATTTCTTCACAAAACTGCATCCTTCTATCAGGATCATCCTCATTAAGTTCCTGTACTAATCTAGTTTTGTATGGATGAAATTTGTGCACTTTTAAAATCCTTAATAGGGACGAACGGGGGACACCTGAGACTTGAGCCAGTTGACGGGTACTTTGGGTATGATCCAATGCTACAT